GAAATAATAGGGAAGGTTTTGGCAGGGTGTTCGACGGCTGGTTTGAAAAGCCTGTTTGTGATGGCGCTGTCTGCGTGAGAAGAACCGCAACATGGGTTTCCACAAACTGGACATTTCTGTGCCAAATGCACCAATATCTGGCTGCTTTGGTTTCAGTGCTCAGTCATGTTTAAGAATGAGGTTACTGTATTAGCCAGTTTGTGCCTTATAATAAATAAAAAAACAGGTTATACCTCAATTGACAGTGAGATCAATCAACGACAGTGAGATCAACATCTACTCTCACTGTAGATCTGTTTTTATTTCTCCTCGGGACTTTTAGAATAAAAATCTCTGCCCCCAAATACTATAGTATTGCCATGGTGCATGTCCAAAAACATGGTATTGCCCCAAAATATTATAATATTGCTATGGTACATGTGCAAAAACATGGCATAGCCCCCCAAAATACTATATTATTGCCATGGTACATGTGCAAAAACATGGTATTGCCCCCAAAATACTATAGTATTGCTGTGGTGCATGTCCAAAAACATGGTATTGCCCCCCAAAATACTATATTATTGCTATGGTACATGTGCAAAAACATGGCATAGCCCCAAAATACTATAGTATTGCCATGGTACCGCTCCAAAAACATGCTATTGCCCCAAATACTATAGTATTGCCATGGTACATGTCCAAAAACATGGTATTGCCCCCCAAAATACTATATTATTGCCATGGTACATGTGCAAAAACATGGCATAGCCCCAAAATACTATAGTATTGCCATGGTACCACTCCAAAAACATGCTATTGCCCCAAATACTATAGTATTGCCATGGTACCACTCCAAAAACATGCTATTGCCCCAAATACTATAGTATTGCCATGGTACCACTCCAAAAACATGGTATTGCCCCCAAATACTATAGTATTGCCATGGTACCACTCCAAAAACATGGTATTGCCCCCCAAAATACTATAGTATTGTCATGGTACATGTCAAAAAACATGGTATTGCCCCGAAATACTATAGTATTGTCATGGTACATGTCAAAAAATCATGGTATTTCCATAGTACCTTGTCCAAAAATTCTAATTTTGTTACTGTGAGGTTTATAATGTCCAAATTGTCAAATAATCCCAAATTAAACTTTAGATAGCAGTACTGTTTTATTAGAGACTAAGAATGTCTAAGAATGTGGTTACTGTACTAGCCAGTACAGTTGAGTTTGGGCCTCATAATAAATAAAAAAACACGTTATACCTCAATAATTTCTCCTAGACGACAGTGAGATCAGTGGGAGAGTTGAGTTGATTTCCACATCTACTCTCACTGTAGGTCTGTTTTTATTTCTCCTCAGGACTTTTAGAGTAGAAACACATCTCTATTGCGTCTCCTGAACAGTTTTCTTCTGGTTAGATTGGTGAGCGTTTGTGAGCCAAGCCCCAGGAGAGCATCATGGGGGACCGTAGGAGCTGCTGAAGCCGCTTTGTCTTTGTTTATTCACATGCGGCGGGCTTGGGGGGTCTTCAGCCAGAACCTAGACTTATTTAGCACACATGCGGATGGCAGAGGAAAAACACAGAGATTCATGTGAAGGACATGGAGAACTCTGGAGAAAGACTGGAGCTGTTTTTAGTGTAGGACAATTCTGTTACTCAGAGGTTTCTCTTTCTCATTTACGTCAAGAGTCAGTTTTGTCTCAGATGTTCTCAGTGGGATTTTTTCTCATTAGGGTTTTATCGTTAGTATAGATTAGTTTACAAAACAGGTTTATTAGCCTATGATTAACTGAAACTAAAATTAAAACCATACAAATTGTTACTTGAAACAAAATAAGTATTAACCAAATTAAAGTAAAATATTGTAAAAATATAAAAAATGTAATGTTATATATATATATATATATATATATATATATATA